TCCCCCCCCCCCTTGTGTGTGTGTGACTATTGTATTTTCTTTCAGACACCCCCTGTTCCCTCTTTTAGCACTGATTTTTGAGAAATGTGAATTAGCTACATGCACACCCAGGGAGCCGGGGGTAGCGGGAGGCGATGTTTGCTCCTCGGAGTCTTTCAATGAAGACATAGCAGTGTTCGCCAAACAGGTCAGCAAAACCGGCTCGAAACTGTAAAAAGCCCCCCCCAAAAAAAAAAAAAAAAAAAAAGAAAAAAAAAAAAAAAAAAAAAAAAAGAAAAACAAGTCTCTGTTGAGATAAAGATGCGCGGTCCCCCTCCCCCTTCTCTTACTGCAAGAGAGGGGGGAGAAAAAAACCCACCACACCCCACCCCCAAAAAGAACCCGACCCCAAACCGAACTAAATGGGGGGAAAATCACGGTATTTCTCTCCCCCTTAAATAAATGAATGGGTGGGAGCGGGGTGCGCGCCCCGGCGGGAGTTGCGCTGCGCGGTTGCCGGGCCGGGGCTTTGCCGGGGAAGCTCCGGAGGTATTTATTTATATATATATATGTATATAAATTTTTTTTTCGGGGTGCTGGATAACTTGGTAAGAGTTAACAACACTTCTTCCTCTCCCCACCCCCACCCCACCACCCTCCCTTCCCTTCCCATTTATTTATTATTTATTTATTTATTTATTTATCTTAACTTCCATGCCTCCTGGAGAGGTGGCATGGCGGTACTAAATTGACAGTTTCTCAGGTGGAAATATTTTTTATTTTTATTAAATGGTGGTGGTGATGATGATTTTTTTAGAATGATGAGTAAATCCGGCGCGGTAATTGCGTGGAAGTGGGGAAAAAATAAATAAATAAATAAGACAAAAATTAATATATATATCCCATAAGGATATCCCTAAAGCAAACCCCATCCAAAAAGGGGAGATTTTGGGTTTGATGGCCAGCTCGCCCGCCCCGAGAGGAGCGTGTGGATTTAACCCACGCTGGCAACCCCGCACCTTTGGAGCATCTGGTTGGGAAACAGAGGGGATTGATGTGTCTGGAGATGCACCCTTCGTTAACTCACCCAAAAAAAAAATAAAAATTGAGGTCTTTCCTCCCTTCGCTTTCATTTTTTATTTTTTTTTTCCTTAAAGGATAAACAAATATTTTGCCTCCGCTGCGCTCCCGCTTCTGCAAAGCCAGGAGCCAGCGATGGTGTTTAGAGGGTTGTTTGGGTTTGTTTTTGCTTTTAAAGAAATGTTTATGATCCGCATCATTTAGTCGTTTGGTTTGCAATAGGGTTTGGGGGGTTGGTTGTTTTTTGGGGGGGGGTTGGTGGGGTTTTTTTTGGGTTAACTCTAGATGGCTTCTCGTTAAAGAGCGCACAAAGCCACCGCTATTAAGTTTTAGTGTTATTGCCATAAATCAAAACAACTTTTTATTTACTACGAGAGAAAAGTCAAGCTACAAAGTGCGGCAGGGGCGGCTGTGGGAAATATCCCCAAATCCAGGGATGAGATAAATACTCGTCTTGTTTGTATCTTTGCAGATGATTCAAGCCATACAAGTATTAAGGTTTCATCTGTTGGAATTAGAGAAGGTAATTTTTGTCTCTCTCTCTCTCTCTCTCTCTCTCTCTCTGTCTTTTCCTTCCTCCTCCGTTTCAGTCCTGCTGAAGTTCAGGCTTCTGGTAAATTTGCATAAATGTCTTTCTTTCTGGTAATTAGTGTCAAGACCAATCTTGGCGTCCATTTCTCTTCGCAGTTTAATTACAATTTCAGCCTCTAAAACCGGGCTCTCAAACGCCCAGGCCTTGTGTTCATTGTAATACTTTGCTGGCTTTGTATAAATAGTTGCAGTTCTGTGGTGCCGCAGATGAGACTCCAAACGGTTGGTTCAGCCAAGCCCCTGAAATTGTGACTTTTTTTAAAAAAAAACAACCCAAAAAACCCAAAAATTAAATTATTATATTTTTTCTCAGAGGCGGTGGGGAAGAGACTTTGGTTACAGTTGGTCGGGATGGGGGATTTTTTGGATTTTTTTTGATTTAAATATCTAGACAGGTTTGGGGTTGCATTTTGCTTTTTTTTTTTTTTTTGGTTTTTTTGTTCCTTTTTTTTTTTTTTTTTTTTCTCCCCCCCCCCCCCCCCCCCTTAAGAGCCATCTGCAGGTCAGGCTCAGGGCACGGATTGTCCTGTAACATTTTGCAGAGACAAAGCAGAGTTGATAGTTTTGTCTGTCTCTTGTTCCTGGGAATATTGTACACCTCCGAGCAGAAGAAAGAGATTGCAGCCTAAATGCGGGGTTTTGTGGGTTTTTTTGGTGGTTTGTTTTTTTTTTTTTTTGCTGGCTATTTTAGAAATCTTAGGAGGGAGAATGCTAATTTCTAAGAAGGCGGTGTCACCCGAGCTCACATTAAATTGGAAGTGCGCTCTGGTTTCCTGAGGATTTTTTACGTGTCATTGATAGCTGGCCTAGAAGAGAATTCCCTTTCTCCTAAAAATAAACATTTTGAGAGGTTTTTAAATAGTTGAAAAGTTTCGCGGGAGCCTCGGCCGCTTTATCTAACCGTAACTGGCAGGTTCTTCTCCCTCTCCCCCGAAATGTCTTAAAATCTGCCCATTAATCGAGGTGGCTCAGGTAGGAGTCAATCAGAGCGACTGGGGATTTCAGGGCACGGATGTATTTCAGCCCAGTGCATCGGGATTTATTTATTATTTTATTTTTTTTAAATCCCTTTTTTTTTTTTCTGTCCCCATACCCCTTCGGAAAAGGGTTTTATGATGAAATAACTGGATGAAATTAAATAGTTTACCTTAAATGTCACCCATGCAGGTCACCTCTCTAATGGCCACAGCTCCGGGAGCAGATGAATTTAACACGGGTGTTGAATATGTTGTAGCCTGTGAATCATCTTGTCACTGTCAATTTTCTGGGATATCTCTATTTTGCGAGAAAAGAAAGTTATTCCTAATTCTGGATGCGTCTAGAGGTCTCGGGGGGATAATTGCAGTGTGTTTCCCCTATTTAGGACTTTTGATGTCACAGGGGTGAAGGGGGGAGACTGGTTGCACTTGTCAATTTTACTTATGTATTCCTGATTATATTTTCTTCCATTTCCCCCCCTCTTTTTTTTTTTATTTCTTTTTCCTCTTTTTTTTAAATTTCTTTTTCCTCTTTTTTTTTTTTTTTTTTTTTACTTTTTACTCTCTCTCTTTTTTTCTTTTTTTTTTAAAAACCTCTGTCATAATGTAGGTACACGAATTATGTGACAATTTCTGCCACCGGTATATTAGCTGTTTGAAAGGAAAAATGCCTATCGATTTGGTCATAGACGATAGAGAGGGCGGCTCAAAATCGGACAGTGAAGACATAACAAGATCAGCAAATCTAACAGATCAGGTACGATCTCGCCAACGCTGAAATTTGTATGCAGATCGCTCGCCGGGTCACTACGCCTCCTTTTATTATTTGCATATGATTAAGTCCCTTTTAGATAAATTTCCATCGAAATGAAAATTTTTGAATAATGTGGCTATTATTGCTTCATTAAGCCTTGCTCCCGGATTCGACCTGGCGAGATGAGCTTGTAAAAGCCTCGCCTGCAAACTCGACCTGCTTCTTGTCGCTTTTAATTTTTGTCTTGATTTTATTTACCCTTTTTACAAGAATAACGAGCGGCGCCCGGGAATCGCTGGCTTCTTGGTGGCTGAGGAAAGGAAGGGCTTTTGGGGAAGGGGGTGGGGGGGAAAAGTGCTGAGACCCAACTAAGAATCAAATCCGAGATAGGTGGTCCGGGGGAAGACAGAGAGGGTTTGAAATCTAGCAAATACTGGCTATTTTCTCCCCGTCTCTACGGTTCATTAGTCCGTCTTGTCAGTTTTTCCTTGGCCGAACGCTTTTAGACTTCAGTGAACATTGCTTTGTGCACGCCTGCCTGCTGCAAACGCGCCCATTTTATTTTACTTAATAGAGGGGAGGGGGGGGGAAGAGAAAAAAAAAAAAAAACACAAAAAAAGGAAAAAAAAAAAAAAGAGAAAATAAACCCAGCCCCAGGTTTAAAATTATTTCCCCCCTCGCTTTTTTTTTCCCAAGTTTTCACCCCTTCTCGTTAAAAAAATAGAAATACAATTATCGCCCCCCCCCCTCTAAAGAAGCCGGAGGAGCCTTGGGGGGGGGGGGCTCTGAGGGGTATCCAGGTTTTTTCCCTGGGATGGTTCAAAGCTTTCCCGAGGTGGGAAGTAAGGGATGAGCCGGGAAAGCTGGCTGGCCCCCCCTGTCCCCTCCCCTTCTCCCGCCGATGTCCCCTCCGCTGGGCTGAGCTTTGCCTTTTACCGGGAGCGCTTGGGGGCTCATTCAGGAGGCGCCCGGAGCTAAATTAAGCTCCTAAATGATGGAAGCGGCTGAGAGTTGGTTGGGGTTTTTTTTTTGCTTCTTTTTCTTTTTCTTTCCCCCTCTCGAGTTGGGTAAAACTGCGGGGTTTTCCCCGCTCGGCTTGATTTTTGCCCACCCCGTTTTGGGTGCGGGACCCCCAAAAGCAGAGACCCCAAACTTCCCCCCCCCTCCTCCTCCTCCAAGTTCTTCTTGATGCTTCAGCTTCGTAAATAACATTCTTAGGAGTAATCAGCTCCCGACTCTGGAGGTTTCCTTTTGTTCAAGCAAGGCGCAGTCAAGCAGACAGGAGTTTCCCCTCAGCTGCTTGGCCATTCTCACCCTATAGATTATTCTATAGGTGCCTCGCACCTATAGATGCAGCCTGGGCAGCATCCGAAATATTTTCTCCTATCTACCGTGGCCGGGGGGGGGAGGAAGGCTAGAAGGAAGGCGTGAAGTTGTGGATTTCTTAAAAAAAAAGGGTTTCTGTGCGTATATGTGAGTTTCGGGGGGTTTATTTCCCCCCAAAAAAATATTTTGGCTCCGAATGGGGAAAAGCTTTGTGGGGCGGGCGGAGGAAGGATGCTCCGGGGGACCGGGGAGGATGCTCG